TCCCCCGCTCCCCCCCTTCTCCGCATCTGGGCTCGCATTGGGGCCATCCTGTCTTTCCCGCCCAAGGACTTGACTTTTTCACTTCCACTCCACCCCCATTTTCTTGCCATCTTTTCGGCAAAACTGCTCAGAGGGTCATCTCTTCTTCCTTCCCCCCTTCTTCCTCTCTGCCCCGCTCTCCTAACCAAAAAGGCAATACTTTATAATTCACAGAAGTCCACAGGCAGCTCTTCTCATCTCACAACTGTCTTGTGTCTGCGAAACCTCCCTTCGCTGCTCTGAAGCAGAGGCACCCGTCACATCGTCAGTAAACACTGCTCAAAGATGAGGGGCTTTTCCTCACCTAAGCCAGCACCACAGTCACACCTTTAGAATTTTAATGCTAATCTTTCCTCAGTACCATCAAATATCTACTAAGTTTTCAAGTTCCAATGGCCTCATGGATCTCACTTTAAAATGCCTCTGCCCTAACTGGTTTGGCTCAGTGGATAGAGCGTCGGCCTGCGGACTGAAGGGTCCCAGGTTCGATTCCGGTCAAGGGCATGTACCTTGGTTGCGGGCACATCCCCAGTAGGGGGTGTGCAGGAGGCGGCTGATTGATGTTTCTCTCTCATTGATGTTTCTAACTCTCTCTCCCTTCCTCACTGTAAAAAATCAATAAAATATATTTTAAAATGCCTCATGTGCTGGAAGCAGGATCCGAGTAAGCCCCGCCCCTTCTCGGCAGCCCCTCCAGGCTCTCGTCCCTACCCCTTCGCTCACAGTGCTCTCGACGAGGTTCCCAGGCCCCCCTTTGTCATTTCCTTTGGTGACCTCCCTTTCTGTGGGAATGTGACCCGACAGATTGCTCATCCCCACCTTTGGAAACTTCCTTCACTTGTAAAGGCCAGCAGTAAACATGTTAGTTCTTCAGGCCATATGGTACCGCTGCGTCTGCTCCCCTCTCCGGCATGGCACTAGGGCAGCTGAAGAAAATACAAAACCAATGGGCGTGGCTGTGTTCCAATAAAACTTTATTTACAAGTGTAGGAGGTGGACCCACTGGCCACAGTTTGCCGACCCCTGCTCTGAAAATCTCTGCACGGGAAGGAAACACTCAAAACGACTTGGCAGTCTGAGCAGCAGGATGGACTTCTTCCCAGAAGTGGGGAAGCTGCTCCCAGGGCCACTGCGGCTTGCATTGGCCAAACCGCACACACACGCCCTGGGACCCTGGGGAGGGGCCCGCGTGTGGCAAGAGGAGGGAGGGGGTAATGGGAAAGCTGTCTTTTAAACAATACATATGTATTTTTAACTGGTTTCAGAGGGGAAGGGAGAGGGGGAGAGAGACAAAAACATCAATGATGAGAGAGAATAATTAATCGGCTGCCTCCTGCACACCCCACACTGGGGATCGAGCCTGAAACCTGGGCATGTGCCCTGACCGGGAATCGAACTTCGACCTCCTGCTTCATAGGTCGATGCTCAACCGCTGAGCCACACCAGCCGGGCCAAGTTGTCTTCTTAAAGATGCCGCGCTGGCTGTTCTCCTTGGTCCATCTTCCAAGGAGCAGAGCTGAGGACACAGCTCATCCACCGTGGCACTTTTTAGTTCCTGCGACTGTAAGAGAGGGGACTGCCTCTCTTGGGTTCCCCTACCACATATTAGAGCAGACTCTAACATTTTATATATATTATTCATTTAGGGGGGTCTTGAACCCAGCACAGGTGAAAACAATTTAAAATCAGGCTCTGCCACTTACTAGCTCTGTGACCTGTTTTATGAGGGTGCTGTGATGACTTCAGTAATAGTCTTTGTAACGTGAGTCATCATTGCTGCTACATTTAGGAAGGGTTTGCAAGGTGTCATGCACTTGCTGTGACATAGGGAGTATCTGAACCCTCACAGCAACCTATGGGGAGGGTCCTATTCCTAAGCCCATGTTACAGATGAGGGGCCGCGTTTGGAGAGGTTAGCTAACTTGCCCAAGGTCACACAGTGAGTGGGTAGCAGAGCCCACATTCAAATCCAAGTTGTCTGACCCCGGAATCCACGCTCTTAACCACCTTCCTCCTTCTTAGTGCATCTAATAAGCGCTCAGTAAGTGATGGTTGTAATTCCAGCCGGTGTCAGTGCTGCCGGGAGGCGGTGTATGTGACCGCAGAGTAATTTGGAAGAGAGGTGGTGATTGTACTTCCAGGCTGTTGTGTTCATTCTACTCATTCCATTCCTCCTGTTGCGCAGGAGCCCCCATTCATTCCATCTTCCTCTACGCCCACTCCTTGCTTTTCCAGAGCCTCTGGTCTGACTGGTGCAGTGAGTGGCCACCTGCTGAATACCTCTGCCGTTTGCCTTGATGTCACGCATCACTGACCAGCTCCCCACGCAGGCGCTCGGGCTGTTGACCTTGACCCATAGGGATCCCCCTTCTTCTTCCTGCTCTTCTAGGACTCTGCTGAGTGGCAGCATTGATTCAGACTCTCCTCGTCCCCTGAGATCGTGGGAAATTTTTATCAACCTGCTGTGAGCGGTTGAAGGCAGGCCTTGGAGCCACCTGCTCGTGAACGGAGCGCAGATGAGTCCTGAGAGCAGAGCCACCTTCTGTCTTCTTACCTGAGCGTACGGTTAGCCAAGTGCTGTCGTCAGTTTGACGAGGGCTGTGGGTTCATTATCCTCATGATCTGGGTGCGTGTCTGTTGAGCACTGGCTGTTTCCCGGGACCCGTGCCAAGCCTTTTCCATATTTATACCGTTCGCTCCTCCACACCAGTGCTGTCCAGTGCTTCTGCAGTGATGGGACGTCTGTGTCTGCTCCGTCCGGCAGGGTGCCCTCCAGCCACACGTGGTCTCTGAGCATGTGAAATGTGAATAGTGCAACTGAAGATCTGGGGGAAATGGGAAACTATAGAGGAAAATATTGACAGGTTTGACTACATAAAAAATTAAAATTTCTTAATAGGAAAAAAACACAGCAAAAGCGAAGTTTAAATGTCAGTTGAGACCGGGCGAAAACAAACAAACAAAAACACACCCCAAAACAAAAAACAGTGCAACAAACAGGGTTAAATTCTTAACTAATAAAGAGCTGCAGCAGATGGGGGGGTGGGGGGGCGTATATAATACTTTCAACAATAATGATTTAAAAAAAAAAGAAGAGCCGCAGCAGATAAGCAGAGCCCAGCAGCCAGGAGATCGGGGAGGTTGTGAATAGGCGCGTCACAGAAATGTGATTAATGATCACATTAGTGATCAGAGAGACACAATTTAAAGCAGTGAAGCACTGTTTTTCACCGATTGGAGCGGCAGAAATTAGACTAATTCCATCCTGTGTTGGCCAGCTTGGTCGGTGTGGAAACTGACCCACCTTTCAGGCAGGCGAGTGGCCGGCTGCAGCCACACGGTGAATGTGCGTGTTCTTTAGCTCCGCAGTTCCACGCTGAGCACTCACCGGCCATATTACCCACACAGGGATCCACCCATGCTCGTCGCAATATCTTGTGTAATATCAGAGACTTGGAGTCAGCAGCCATGTCTAACCATGGTTAAAGCGTGGTACCGCCCATGGTAGAATAGTGTGGCTATGAGCAAGAACACAGTGGATGTGGATGTAGTGATATGGAAATATACACCTGATGTATAGTTAAGAAAAAGCAGCTTTCAGAACAATGACTACAATATGATCCTATTTCACTTTTTAAAATCTGTGCCTGGCCCTGGCTGGTTTGTCTCAGTGGATAGAGCATCGGCCTGCAGACTGAAGGGGCCCTGGATTCAATTCGGGTCAAGAGCACATGCCCGGGTTGCAGGCGCGATCCCCAGTAGGGGGCGTGCAGGAGGCAGCTGATCAATGATTCTCATCATTGATGTTTCTATCTCTCTCCCTCTCCCTTCCTCTCTGAAATCAATAAAATATATATTTTTAAAAAATAATAAAAAAATAAAATCTGTATGCAGGGAAAGGGCTGGGAGGACACACACACACACACACAAGCTGTTGACAGTGAGGAACAGGGAGCAGGCAGCTTTCGTATTTATATCCACTTCCATGTCACTCGCATTCTTAGGGTGAGCAAATATTGTTTCCAGAATAATTTTTTTTTTTACTGTGAGGAGACTACTTTAGTGGAATAAAACATGCCGAGCTTTGCCAGGACACAGCCCATGCTAATGCAGGAGCCAAGGAGCCTGTTCTTGCTTTAGTAGAAAAGACAATAATCTGCACATCACCAGCATCTGTGGTTGGCTTGATTTAAAATGCACATAAAAAAGGAAATCGTTGCGCTTAGAGCTTACCCACACTAGTCAGTGGATGCCTTTGCTGCTCCCAAAATAGCACTCGGCACGGGCTGCGTCCTAGTAGAGCCTTCCCTCAAGCAAAGGCATGGCTCTCACCGCGATTCCCTCCATGGGTCCCCGGGTCTCGCACTTCCAGGGAGCCAGGGGAGCAGACAGGCCCCTCTGCCACTACCCCCACCCCTGAGCCCAGCCTGACAGCAGCTGGCTCAGAAATAATTTTGTTTAAGAAGATATTTTACTTTATTTCAGAGAGGAAGGGAGAGGTAGAGAGAGAGAGAAACATCAATGTTGAGAGAGAGTCACTGATCGGCTGCCTCCTGCACACCCCACACTGGGGATCGAGCCCACCCCCCGGGCATGTGCCCTGACCAGGAATCGAACCGTGACCCCTGGTTCCTACATAGGTCAACACTCAACCACTGAGTCACGCCGGCCAGGCAGGCATCTTGACCTGAGAGGAGTCTGCGTTCTAGCCGTGGCTCCCTCATTTAGCTAAACATCATAGTGAAGGTGGCTGCAGTCACCTTCTCTGTTTAAACATAAATGAGTAAAAACTTAAAACTTGTCCATGTTTTCAAGTGGGAGAGTGGGCTTGGCCACTTTCATAGCGAAGAAGGTGGATAGGCCTGTTTTGCTCTTTTACTTAGGGAGTCACACTTCATCTCCGAGGATGCTTCTGGCTCTAACATTAAGCCCCTGACCTCAGATCTCCTTGGAGTTTGAAATTAAAAAAAAACAACTGCAGACCTTGGCAGGGTGGTTCTCGGTAGTCAAGTGCACCGAAGACTTTCGGCCGCTGCTGCCAGGGAGTCGTGTGGTTTTCACGGGCTCACTGCACTTCCTGTCCGTTCTGGAAACCTCCCCTCCTGGGCCTAGTTTGCCTGCCTCTCAAGACACAGAGCAGACCCGAAGGACTGAGCCTGCCCTGGGCCACGGAGGAGAGACTGTCTCTGTGATGCGGCCGGATGGGGGCCTCTCTCCAGGCGCGTGCTGGTGTGGTTGATGCGTCTCGCCTGCTGCCGCCTCCACTGCGGCTTCAGAAACACTTGAGAGCAGGTTTGTCCAGTGCCAAGAGCTTAAACCTGAGCTGAGCGAACAGGGATATGTCCTTCCCCCTCAGGCCATGGCAAGGGCAACAGCAGAGGAGAGAATGGCTGAAATGACGGTGCAAGACGGCGCCTGGGGCTTTCTTTGAAAGGGGCTCCTGCTTCCTAACTGGTTGCAGAGAACTCAGTCCAAATATCTGGGCTTTGGCCCGGCCGGCGTGGCTCCGTGGTTGAGCGTCAGCCCGTGAACCAAGAGGTCGCTGGTTCGATTCCCGGTCAGGGCACATGCCCAGGTTGCAGGCTCAATCCCCAGTAGGGGGCAGGCAGGAGGCACCTGATCAATGCTGTTTCTCTCTCTCCCTCTCCCTTGCCTTCTCTCTAAAAGTCAATAAAGGCTTTTTTTTAAACCCACAAATTAAAAATAAATAAATAAATAAACTCCCACAAATATCTGGGCTTTCTTCACCTTCACTAAGCGGGTCGAGCTGCCCTCACCTTCGCCAGCCCGGTGGCGTTTGCTCGGAGCTGCACTTCGTCCCGCCCGCTGTCCACGTCTTGTATCAGTCCACCTGAGGACAGTGTCCTCCTGGGTGTAGGGCTTGCCATGAGCCTGGCATGTTCCCAGGTCCGTGTCCAGCCTCGCCAGGCTCCTCAGGCAGATCCTTGCCAGAGGCTGGCACGGAGACCGTGGCAGCCAGTGCCCCAGCCCATCAGCCCTTAGCTTTTCCAGAGGAGCAGCTTGGAGCAAGGCCTTTGTGTGGCACCATCCAGAGGCGAGGGCATTTACACGCACGGGGGTTCGTTTAAGTGGCTAATAACATTCTAGGTAGCAACCCTGGGGCTGTGTAGCTCGGTGACCCAGGCTCGGACCCTGGTACCACCTGAGACCTCCGCATGCAAAGCACCTGGTAGTGCCTGAGCGGCCTGAGCTGCAAGGACACAGCCTTGGTCTCTGGACCCTGCAGTGCAGGACGGGCAACAGTGCCGGCAGATGGAGGCGGACGCCCTCTCGGTCACCACGAAGACGCCATTCGACTGGTTTTCTCAGCCACTTCTCGGTTCCCGGGCTCCTGTGGCCTCCTCTGTTTCCATCTCCGATCTAAGGTGGTTGTTCCCCTTCAGTTGCAGAGCTACTTCGCGGCGTGTGAAGATGAGACCCCTGCCATCCGGAACCACGACAAGGTGCTGCAGCGCCTGTGTGAGCACTTGGACCACGCCCTGCTGTACGGGTAAGCTGGGCAGCTGGAGGAGGCGGTGGGCAGCACAGGGCACGGCCGGGCCATGCGCGGCCTCCGGAGAGAAGTCCCGGCCTCGTCCACCTTCTGTTGTTCCCTTCCCTTGGCGGAGAGAAGTGTGTCTCGCTCAGGTGGGCCGCAGGCGTCTGTGGTTATCCGGGTCTCTGAGCAGGCACACGAAGGGGGAGAGAAGGAGTAGCAGAATGGGGAGGCACGGTGCCTGTGGGTCCCGCCGGGAAGCCATGGCTCTTGGCCTTGAGCTCACGACGGATGCAGCTGGTGGGCCCCTGCCGGCACCTTCCCCGGGAGCCCTGCCAGGGACAGCAGCTCCTGTCCCCCCCTCAGGCTGCAGGACCTCTCCTCTGGCTACTGGGTGCTCGTGGTGCACTTCACGCGGAGGGAGGCCATCAAGCAGATCGAGGTGCTGCAGCACGTGGCCACCAACCTGGGGCGCAGTGAGTAGCGCAGGTGGATGCTGGGAAGGGCCAGCTCCGCTCCCCCTGTGGGTGGCTCGGGGCTTAGGTGCAGCCTCCTGGTCAGCCCAGGGAGCCAGTTCCTGTGTGATGTCCGGAGGCAGTGGGGCCCCCAATGCCAGTGCCCTCCAGAGGCCCCTCCTCCCTGCGAACGGCAGCCTGTGGGAGCGTCGAGGGGGTGGGGGGTGCGGGGCGGTGAAGGAGAGTGAGATACTGAAGAGAATCCCAGCCGATCACATAGTGGGTCTCGCGTCCCTCCTTGAGTGAGGACCAGTGGTAGCCTGCAGGGTCGTGCAGAATCCTTGCCTTTATCAACCCCCTGGAGTTTAAAGTCTGCCCTCTTTGTCCAGCTTCCTGGGCAGCCATAAGCTAGGGGCTCACCGGGAAAAGAAAGGTTTCAGGGCCGTGGCCCTCCAGGAGGAGGCGAGGCTGTTGGCGTGCGTGGTCCCCTCCCCCGCGCTGTCTCCTCCCTGCCCATGCCCGGCACACGCACTGCGCCCTGGCAGACCTTCCTCCCAGTGACGCCCGCCCTTGTTTGCAGGCCGGGCCTGGCTGTACCTGGCCCTCAACGAGAACTCCCTGGAGAGCTACCTGCGGCTGTTCCAGGAGAACCTGGGCCTGCTGCACAAGTACTACGTCAAGTGAGTGCCCGTTCGGTCCCCGCAGCCCCCGAGCTGCCCTGGCGCCTCGTCCCACAGGCTCTTGCCACATGCAGACACCGTGGTATGCCCCCTCAGAGGCCCGGCCTGGCACTGCCTGCTGAGGACACGTCAGTGCCGGCCACAGGGCCCTCCGAGCCCGGCCTGTGCGGCTTGTGCCCGGAGCTCAGGGCTCCGGCTGGGCTCCTGTGTTCGGTGCTCTGCCTCCGCCTGGTCCTCTCCCCGGGCCTCAGACCAGACTAGAATGTGCGACCTTTGCTGGGGTCGCTGCAGGATCCGAGTATTTATAGCAGCTGCTGCGAGCCAGCTGGGCCTTACGCCACAGGCCCTGGATCTGAAGACACTGGCGGGAACTTGCCGTGTGGCCCAAACCCTGCAGGAGAGCTGGGAAGGGGTGGGTGAAGCTGCCTCCAGCTGGGTGCCCTCAGGGAGAGGGGTGTCACATGTCGCATTTCAACACAGCGGGCTTGTTGGCGAGGGAGGGCGAGCTGGATCCCAGCCCAGCGCCACCACCGTCCCCTCCATGCCTCACAGGCATGCCCTGGTCTGCAGCCACGACCACCTGACTCTCTTCCTGACCTTGGTGTCTGGGCTGGAGTTCATCCGCTTCGACCTGGACCTGGTGAGACCCGTGGCTCTCCCGGCTCTCGGGGCAGAGGAGTGGGCGGTGGGCACGTGGTATCCATTCTGGGGAGTCTCCCTGTGTGACCGGGCCTGAGCCACGCTGTGTTTATGCAGGTGAGGGCGGGTCAGGGTCTGCACTTGGGAGTGAGAGGAAGGGTGTGATTCTCTCTTGGCCTGAGGCCAGAGTTCCTGGTTTGGCCAACTCCTTCCATCTCTGTTCCTCCTGGGAGAAGAGCCACGCTGCCTGGATGGTTAAGACATGAGTGTTTGAGGGGGACAAGGCCAACGCATCCCTATGCCTCCTGGGGTCCTGGAATTGCCACCGGCTCCGGCTCCCGGCCTCTCTCCTACATTCACACACTAGAGATGTTCGGTGCCGGCCCAGATCGAGCCAAAGGGGCCCATGGCACCTCGGACGCAGCTGCTACGTCCGAATCCAATCCCCTTCCTGGGTCCCTGCCTGGTCGGCACAGACTGAAGGGGAGGAGGAATTGGGGAAACGAGCAATTCGAACAGTGAGAGGTCAGAGACGGGCTAGAGGCCTCACTGGTCCTGTCCTCTCTGTGGGCCTCAGGCCCAGCTCTCAGCGCCGCACCCATCACATCCCTCGTTAGCAGCGCGTTTCTGCAGTTAGTGCCTTAAGCCCGTTGGTTTCCCAGAGAAAAGCTAGCACGGGGGAGGGTGTGACAGGCAGGCCCTCGGCTCTCGAACCCGCCCCAGACCCGTCTTTCTCCTCTCGCCTCAGGACGCCCCCTACTTAGACCTGGCCCCCTACATGCCCGACTACTACAAGCCTCAGCACCTGCTGGACTTCGAGGACCGCCTCCCCAGCTCGGCCCACGGCTCCGACAGCCTGTCCCTCAACTCCTTCAACTCCGTCACCTCCACCAATCTGGAGTGGGACGACAGTGCGATCGCCCCGTCCAGTGAGGGTAGGTGGCCGGGCAGACAGGAGCCGGACCTCCGCGCTAGAACCGGTTCTAGAGCCCCTTGCGCCCAGCAGGGGCGTCCCTCTCGGCTCCTCCTGGTCCCTAGTCCTGGTCCAGTGGTTGAAGTGAAAGTTACACAGGGTCAGCGTCTCTCAGGTCCTCGTTTCCTCCGAGCCCCTGTGGAGGCTAAGAAATAACTCTGGAGACAGAAAGTGAAGCAATCTTGGGACCGGTCTTGGGGGTGTGAGGCCCTTTTCTAGAAGGCTGTAGCCCCAGGCCCGGCAGTTTTCCAAGTGAGGAGGGATTGGCGTGTGACCAGGAGACTTCCTCTCATCGCAGGGGTGAGGGCGCCCCCCTCAGATTTTAGGCAGAAAGAGGCTAAGGAACCACTGGAAAGAGAAGAAAGCCAGGTGGATGCAAAGCTTAGGGGAAACCTGCCAGCGTTTCTCACGAGTCCCTCCCGCACTTGTGTGTCCGCGAGGACTGCACCCATCGCATCAGAGACTGAAAAGGGAGGTCATCGCATCTGGAGGTCACTGTGTTGTCTTGATCCAAAAGCTTTACCGAAACAGCCTGGCTCCTTCCAAGCCTTGGGCCTCCGTGTTCATGTATTATTTATTTATTTATTTATTTATTTATTTTTAAAAAGTATATTCTTACTGATTTCAGAGAGGAAGGGAGAGAGAGATAAAAACAACAATGATGAGAGAGACGCATTGCCCCTCACTGGGGATCGAGCCCGCAACCCGGGCATGTGCCCTGACCGTGGATTGAACCGTGACCTCCTGGTTCATAGGTCCATGCTCAACCACTGAGCCCCGCTGGCTGGGCTGTGTTCATTTGTAAAACTGGCTGTTTCCTCACCCCCAGGGAGGGGGGATCCAAGCCCACATTCAGCCCCTGGGACTCCCTAGAATTGCATCAGCATTGAGGCCTTGACCTTTTTCTTTATTTCTAATTGTGCCATGAGCCATGCGTGCCCAGGGAGAGGGCAGCTGCTGTCCGACTTGCTGTTAGCAAGACTTGCATTGCTCCTTGTACAAGTGGACGGAGGGTCGGGCTCACGGGCTGCCTCAGAGAAGGCAGAGGGGCGCCCCAAAGGAGCAGCCCCCCTTGTCTCAGCTGCTGGTGCGGAGGGAAGGAAGGCTCAGGATAGAAAAGACGGTCAGGAGCACGTGGGCCCACCTTCTCTGCTGGAACCAGGTTCCCGGCCCCCACGTCTTCCCCGCTGGTCAGAGGCCACTGGGGTCCGAGTAAGTCCCCTGAGTTTGGCTGTGAGATAAAATGTAGAAAGTCTAACTTTTCCTCTTGTTTTCTCCCGTGTCCCCGCCCTGTTGCCCCCACCTGCCCTGTCCTTTCACTTCCTGTTTCTAATGGTCAGTTTTGTCCCCGTTTTTGTAGATTATGATTTTGGAGATGTGTTTCCAGCAGTGCCGTCTGTACCCAGCACAGACTGGGAAGGTGGGCAGAGTCCGCTCTTACCCTCGTTTCCATGCCAAGCTTGCTGCATGACTCAAAATCAGCTCGATACTTACAATAATCATGCCAGTGATCGTACTAAAGCCCACCTGGTGTCCTGATAGATGGAATTCTGCAGGAGGAGAGCTCCCCCTCCAGCCCAGGCCAACGCCTCCTCCCAAGACAGGACTCCTGCCTGCGGGCTGACGCCCTGGCCTTGTGGAGTCACTTGGTGACTGCTTCAGGGACACACAGATGTCCCTTCCCGCCTCCGGTGCCTCTCCGTGCACCAGATGTGCCTGGGGAACTGCTGGCCGTGGGCACGCACTGGGGCCTGACCCCGCGAGTGCAGATTCGTTCTGGAAAGAGGTGCCTTGGAGCGTGTGGGTTGTAAATTCCTGTAGGTCAGATGCATTTCTGTGTCAGAAGCATCAAGAAGCAAAGGCAGAGGCTTGATTCCTTCAGTCCGTTCTTAATGGCTTCCTCTCGGACGTTTTTGAAGGAGGTTGAGGGAAATTGCCCACGTACCATACAGACGAACCTTCCGATGGAGAGATTCTCTGAAATTTCAAGGCAGATTAAAATATACTCACTCAGCCCACCCTCCCACCGTGTCCACTAGGTGGCAGTAATACTCAGGCATTTTCTGGCTGGGCCCGGAGGGGGCCCCACTTCTGGGCTTGTGAGAATTCGTGAAGCTGTTCTTTACGTTCAGTTCCGTGATTGCTCAGAGCACAGGGCATGTTCCTGACGTTAACGCGTCCTCTTTAAATCTGAGGCCATAACCAGGCCCCAAGGGGTGTTAGAGACCCCTTACCCTGTGGGTCACTTCCATCCAGGGTGGGGTGGGGGCAGCCTCTGAAGGGGAGGGACAGGCGCCCTCCCACTGGCCCCTTGTTATGAGAGCCATGATCCCTGAGTAATGGATGACAGATGGCCTTTGCCCCAGTCACGTGCGGATGAAACCGCTGAAGTCCGAGGGAAACAAGATGGCACTGGGATCAGTAAATTCCGCCATCTGGCCAGGAGCGTAGCGTCAGAGTCCCACCTCGCAGCTAAGAGTAGTGTGAAGTCCAGAATTCCATCCTGACAGCACCTGTCCTCTCAGCCTCTCTCCCTGCAGCAGGCGCACTGGGCATCGACCTTTCCCCTCTGGTTCTAACCGCTAACCCTCCCGCCCCGCTACTTGTTGCCTGTTGCAATGCTTGACGAGCAGGGCCCTGCAGAGCGCCCTGTGGGCCGGGTGGGGACTGGGCGGCTGTCCCATGGTCCTTGGCTCATTTACAGGATTGGGGGTACCCCAGCCTTGACACCACCACGTCCGGTGGTCTGCTCGCTCACCTCTCGGGCTCCTCCCAGGAGCAGCTGCAGGTCCCCAGGCCTGGGACAAGACACGGGCTTTGCAGGAACCTTCTTTGAGGCCGAAGGGCAGGGTTTTCTGCATTGAGAACTAGGTGCTGTGATCCCAGGACGTCAGGAGGAAGTCTCATCCATTGCTGGTGGTTTGGGGTTTTTAATATATTTTTACTGATTTCATGGACGGAGAGAGAAACATCAGTGATGAGAGAGAATCACTGATCAGCTTCCTCCTGCACACCCCCTACTGGGGATCAAGCCACAACCCAGGCATGTGCCCTGACCGTGAATCCAACCGTGACCTCCTGGTTCATGGGTCAGTGCTCAGCCAGTGAGCCACACCTGCCAGGCTGTTGCTGGTGTTTTTTTCTGGCAGGGCTGGCAATTGCTTTTAGCTGCCTCCTTTGCCCTTATATTAAAAGACAATGTACTTTTTGAAAAATACGGATGGCGTGCTGTGTCAGCAGGCAGCTGCCAGCGGTCCCGAGATCCACTAGGAGGCTGACGGCCGCCAGGCCCTTCGGGTGAGGCTGAGGGTGGGCAGCATGCTTGCCCGTCTCCGGGGCAGATAATGGCCGGTAAGAGGTGTACAAGCTGTACAAGGTGGCTAATGGAGCGTGAACGGCCTGTTCCCTGCCATTAACCTTCACCCAGGCTGTTCCACCAGCCGGGCCTAGGCCTCTGCTTGGGCAGCTCCCATCTGCCACCAGATAAATGTCCCGTGTGCTTTTCCTCTCCGTCCTGTTCTGGTGACCCGGAAGAAGGGGGGGGGGGGGAGGGGAGTAGACCGGGTCCGCTCTGGAGGGGCGGCAGCATCCCCATCCGTCTTCTCCCCAGGGTGGAGGTGGGTGACCGTGGACCCGTATGCAAGCTGAGGCTGGAATGAAAGCGAGTTCTCAGCACCCCCCTTACGGGGCCCCCGGTCCTGCCCTGGAGCATGTGGGTCGTCAGGGAGAGAGGCAGCCACTGAAGGGCCCACGAGGCATCTGTGGGGGCAGCCACGCGGCCCACGTTTCTCGTCCCCTTCACATCTCCTCCCTCCTGTGCTCCGGCTCCTCTCTGCCCTTCCCCCTGCTCCTCACCCCTCAGCCTTTGCCCTTCACTCTGCACCCGCACTGTCTCTGATCTCTGTTCTCTCTTTTGTTCCTTCTTATCTGCCTCTGTGGGGGACCCTCAGAGGACTTGGGGTATCTCAGTCCTCCCAGTGCCTTGTGGTGCTGAAGAGGCTGCAGGCACCCCTCTAGCCTCCGCTGAGGGAGGGTTAGACAGAGGCGTGCGGCCCGCTCCTCTGTGGCACCGAGGTCACCCCCCGGGGGCTTCAGCTTGGAGCTCTTACCTCCAATTTGGCCTCGTTGCCGTGGCTCTCAAGGGCTCCTGCTGCTGCTGCTGGTGGTGGTGGTAGTGGTGGTGGTGATGGTGGTGGTGATGGTGGTGGTGGTGGTGATGGTAGTGGTGGTGGTCCCTCGAAGTTGCCCTGAAAGCACAGATCCCGTGTCCTTTTGGGTCTGGGCTTCTACGCTTGAAACGGGGCCACCCCCTCAGATTTCCCTGGGAGGGACTCGCTCGCCCTCCGCATGAGGAAAGGCTGCTTTGAGGGCCCCAGAGAGTGTCTGACGGGCGGCGTCCTACTTGCTGCTCTTCCTCCTCGCAGATGGGGACCTCACAGACACCGTCAGTGGGCCCCGCTCCACTGCCTCCGACCTGACCAGCAGCAAGGCTTCCACCAAGAGTCCCACCCAGCGCCACAACCCCTTCAACGAGGAGCAGGCAGAGGCCCTCTCCTCCTCCGACACCACCCCTGTGCACACCGCCTCTCAGGGGAAGGAGCCGCACCCCTCGGAGCTGCTGGACGCCGGCACGGAGCTCGAGGTCATCAGGTCAGCGGGGAGGGGGTGAGCATCCCTCTGCAGCCCAGGCAGGCAGTTGGGTGTCTTCCTGGAGGCGAAGTACCCCCTCTTCCCTTGCTGGTGCCTTGAGCAAGAGGAATAGCAGGCCCGGAGGACAGAGTCACTGGCTGGTCCGAGTCCAGAGCAGCTTGAGCTTCCCAGACCCAGGGTCCCTTAGCCAGGCCCACACAGCCAACGTGGGACCGAAAAGTGGGTGCCAGGAGTTTGAACCCAAAGACTTTGAGTCCATTTCTGGTTGAATTGTCCGTGATGGGAAGTGAGGCCAGCGCAGGGGCCATGGCCCATGTCCTAAGGGAAGGGCTGAGTAGAGGGACCATTGGCCTGACCAACCATGGCCTGTTGTTCCCTAGAACGCAGCTAGCTGCACTGCAGGACCTGCTCAGGGGCCTCTGGCTGCTGCCATCTGTGCCTCCTCGGGCTGGTCCCTGCCTCTGCCAGCCATGGGGGAGACCTCAAGGGCCCAGCCGCTGCTGCCCCCAGCCAGGACCCTGCACCCAGCACTGCCCGGGACCACTGAAGCTCTGGCCATGCCCTCAGAGGTCACACACCCAGGATCACCTCTTTTGGCCCCACCCATCCGTGTCCCTGAGTGCCTGGTGCTCAGAGGCTAATTTCTCCCCTCGCCTCTCTCCCAGGGTCACCAAGAAAAAGAAAACTGGCAAGAAGAAGAAGACCAGATCAGATGAGGAAGCCAGTCCACTTCGCCCAGCCTCCGCCCAGCACACGGGTGCCAGGAGGGGGGATGGCGACAGCCGGGTCAGCAGCCCAGGCCTTGGGCGGGGCTCACCAGACACCACCTTGGCTTCCCCCCAGGAGAAGGGAGAGGGGCTCGCTGAGAGCAGCGAGCGCTCAGAGCCCAGCCAGATGGGCCTGCTCATCCCTGAAATGAAGGACACCTCGATGGAGCGCGTGGGGCAGCCCCTGAGTAAAGTCATCGACCAGCTCAACGGGCAGCTGGACCCGCGCACCTGGTGCTCCCACGTCGAGCCCCCAGACCAGCCCTTTCGGACCGGCTCTCCGGGGGACACCCCGGAGAGACCGCCGTTTTGTGACTTTAGTGAGGGGCTTCCGGCCCCAATGGACTTCTACCGCTTTACCGTCGAGAGTCCAAGCACTGTTACATCAGGTGGCGGCCACCATGACCCTGCAGGGCCTCGCCAACCGCTGCATGTTCCTGGTGGCCCTGCGGCTGCTGGCCAAGAAGAAGAGGGAGGAGGAGGAGGAGAGGGAGAGGCGCCTCCGCCTCTAGGGGCCACTCAGGAGCCAGAGACCCGGGCACCGGAGACCCAGGTGCCCCCCGTTAAGGAGGGGCCTGGGCCTGAGCCAGAGTCTGGGACCCAGGAGGCTCTTTGCCAGCTCAAGCGAGACCAGCCCAGCCCATGTCTGAGCAGCGCAGAGGACTCTGGGGTGGAGGAGGGGCAGGGGAGCCCTTCTGAGATGTCCCACTCGGCAGAGTTCAGGTGAGCAAGGCTGTGTGCGCTGGTGAGAGACACTCCCAGTCCTTGAAGCAGGGGCCCTGGGGTCTGTCCTCCCAGTAAACTAATAAGCATAACTCCCGGGAGACCCAACCTGGGCTGGGAGGTAGGAGGGGTATGGTCCTCCCCTCCTTCATTTGGCTCCTGGTTGGGGGCAGAGCCACGACAGCTGCACCACCTCTGGGGGCACCGCCTCTGGGTGCCTCTACGACCTCTGATACCTACACCACCTCTGGGTGCCTCTATGCCCTTTGGGTGCCTATAAGCCCTTTTGGTACCTACACCACCTGTGGGTGCCTCTACGCCCTGTTGGTACCCGCACTGCCTCTGGGTGCCTGTATGCCCTCTGGGTGCCCGCACCGCCTCTGGGTGCCTATATGCCCTCTGGGTGCCCGCACCACCTCTGGGTGCCTATATGCCCTCTGGGTGCCTGTGCCACCTCTCTGTGCATGTTTCTCCTCTCTGTGCCTGTTTCACCTCTCCTGCCCCTGCCTCAGCCTGACACCGCGCCCTCCCCACACTGTTCCTCTCACAGAGTGGACAACAATCACTTACTCCTGCTGATGATCCATGTGTTTCGAGAAAACGAAGAGCAGCTCTTCAAAGTAAGTCCCAGCACAGCCCGGGCAGGGCGGGGTGGGCCACCGAGCAGTCCGAAGGGAAGGCGCGCTGCCCGGGGCTGGCGGGCAGGAGCCACGGTGCCTGACCGGTTTCTGCTTCACCCGCAGATGATCCGGATGAGCACAGGGCACATGGAGGGCACCCTGCAGCTGCTGTACGTGCTGCTCACAGACTGCTATGTCTACCTGCTCCGGAAAGGTGCCTGCCGCCCCCCTTCCCCAAGCCCCCCACACCCCGGGTGTCCCTCAGCTGCCTGGCGTGTGGCAATGAAAATACACTCCACGGAAGGTGTTGCCAGCAGGCCCAGCAGCCCCAAGACATGAGCCCGGGCCTCCTCTCCATCCGCACCCATGTCATCATTTCAGATCCCGGGGCCCAGGCGGGTCTCCTGGAGAGAGGGGCCAGGTCTTAGAAGACGGGCAGGGGAGGAAGAGAGGCCGCTGTGGGTAATGAGCATGGGCATGTCCTCTCAGGGGCCACAGAGAAGCCATACCTGGTGGAAGAGGCCGTTTCGTACAATGAGCTTGACTACGTGTCGGTGAGTCCAGGCTGCTTGCTGGAGGCCCAGCCGTACACAGAGCAGAGCATGCCCCGGCCTCAGCCCGGCGGCTGGGCGCCAGCTCCTCTCTCCAAGCAGCTTCTGTCCATGGTGCTGGGGGTGGGAGCCGAGCTTGAGGGTGCCTCTCCGTCCGTCCCTCCCTAACTATGGCCAGGGTCCCAGGCCTCCGGAGCTTTACCTTGTGGCGTCCCCAGGGTGCCCGTCCTCCCCGCCCCCCAGCTTGGCCCTCAGTCTGGCTGTGGCTGCTCTTCTGGCAGCGGCCAGGCCCATGTGCATGGGAGTGTGGTCTCTGGCAGGTGGGCCTGGACCAGCAGGCGGTGAGGCTGGTGTGCACCAACCGCAGGAAGCAGTTTCTGCTGGACACGGCCGACGCGGCTCTGGCTGAGTGAGTGACACCCGCCCTCCGCGGAGCTGGGGGATCGGCCTCGGCCACTGGGGTGGCCCTGCCCTGGACTCCCGCCCTCGGGTGGAGGGTGGGAAGTGGCATAGGAAGAAGTGGAGACAGAGGTATATTCCCTCTGGACCCTGCGGTCTGGTCAGATAGGCAAGGAAATAGACAGACATGCCGACTGGTTGATTCGTGGTCAACCCAGGTGACTGCAGAGAGGAAGGGGTGGTATGAGTTTCAGCATCTACTTTTAACCAAGACTTGGTACCACTGTCTTGAATGCTCACTCCTCGCCCCCAGGCCTCCACACGGAGCCTGCATGCAGCCAGATGGCACTGGTGTTCCAGTCCTGCTGCAGCCCCTGCCAGTCTCCCCTCGCTGTCAGAACCCAAGGCCCCTTGGCCATTGGGAATGGGCAGGCCTTTTCTAAGTCACCACTGGGTGACCATGGCCTGCGGTCCCATCACTGCCCCGCCCGCTGCCCTGAGCTCTGGTTCCAGCCAGGTCCCTCCCCAAGTGTCTGTGAGCCCGGCAGAGCG